CCATATACCTTCGGCTCTGGCAACGCACTCGCCTTCTTCATTCAACGACTGAAGATTACGGAGCTCGAATTCGTCACTAAATTCGAAGCGTGGTGCGTTGACGAGGACGACACCCCGGTGAAGAAGAACGCCATTGACAGCATCCGGGGAGAGATTTCAAGGATGGTCTCTGACAAACTTGGTGCGCTAGCAACGAGGGTGTCAAAGCACCACCATCTAACATTTTACAGAGGACTTCACAAGAGTAGCGACTGACATGTCGTGGGCTAACTACGACATCGACATCAGAGAGAACCTGGGGCTGGAACTGGTTGGGGTACCAGAGAACATCGACATCCGCAAACGACCAAGCGTATGGAGCTCGGAAGCGTGTCGCAGCTTCCATCGGCTGCTGTGCGATGGGACAATCCGAGTGGTGAAGATGGATGCAAAGGCCCACTCTGCCTTGGTTACAGAACACGACGCCAAACGCGCCGAGAATGGACGAGGAACGCTGAAGACGCGTGCTCCTCGGTCTGACAAGGGTGTCTCGAGGAAGAACAAGCAGCGAGCTACAGCAGATGAACAAGACGAGACAACTGGTGCCGCCGCTGCTACCTCCACGCCAACAGCAGCAACGCCATCTCTACCCACGGCCGCGTCAGCCACGGACGACGACGAAGCGACCATCACGCCCCCCGCTCTCGACGACAACCGCACACTGCCCACACAGTCGACCTCGGGATCAACTGGCCACCAGGCCACTGGTCTTTCCCCCATCGCCAACTCCGCAACGCCATATCTGCCGGGGACGTTTCGCTCTGAGCAGCCGGTGAACGAGCTCAGTTGGGTTCCACGACCCGCTGACGAGTTCTCCTACCCATCCGGCTCAGTGGGGACAGACGCTCTGGGAATGCCACCACTCCCTGCGCCTGGCACCCTTAACCCCCAAATCTTCTCATCCGAGTTGGATGAGGAGACAGCAACTATGCTGGCTCAGTTTGCCCGGGAGTACGAGCGTTTGCAGCAGCCTGCTCTACCCCTGCCTCCGCTGCCATCTCTAAACTTGCCATCTCCTTCTCCTCCACCAGTCCAACTCCCCCTGCCTCTCCAGATAGCAACAAACAACCCAGCTTTGCCTGGAAGCTCGTCGAGTAGCGACCAGGGTGGGATGTCGGGTCAGAAGAATAAGAAAGGTAAGAAAAGACAACGGGAGGAAGGAGGCGACGACGACGAGGGAACGCAAGGGCCCGCAAAGAAGAAGCGCAAGGAGAGGAGTGATAAGGGCAAGCCGCGCGGGAGCAGGAAGTAATAGTCCTTGTAGAGTAGTGGATTTACAGTGCTTGAAATACCTTAACAGACATGCGAGCTTAACAGACATACCTAACTTAACAGACACGTCAACTTAACAGACATCGGACTTGTAAGAATGACAAGTCAGAATGATGATGTAATTGATATGGTGGATTCAGCGCGCTGTGGGCTACTGGTAGGTGGGCGGGAGCGGCGGGCGTGCTCCAAAGATGGAGCTGCTATGGTAGCCGCAGGCGTTGGCGGGGCGGGCGGGCAGGCGGGCGCAAGGGGAGCAGTGCCAAGGGCAGGGCGGGGCGGGGGGCGGGGCTCCCGGACCGAGGTGATCGCTCGGCGTTACGGGGACCGGGATCCGAGCCCCGCGATGGCTTGGCGATCACTCGGTCCTGGGGACCGGGCATCCGGGTACCGGGTGATGTCAAGCACCGGTACCCGGGTGCCCATTGCTCACTTGTTGCCCTGGCGCGCCGGGTCGCTGGATGATGGCGTTGATGCGGGTGATGCTCCGCCTGGCGCCGGACAGCCCGTCAATCACCTGTGGCAACAGGTGATGGATTGCTAATTAGCGTTGCTAATTAGCTGACATTAAGCTGCTCAGCCGCAGTTGCCTCTACCCCCTCTACTTAGAGGGGGGAAAATATATATTTACCACCTCTATTTAGAGGAGGTAGGTGGGCTATATAGGTGGGTACAAGATATCACTACCAGCTTTGTGTCCCAATTAGGATTGGTCACATTTTACAGCTTTCCTTACTAATTTAGGGCTTTAACAGCAGTGATCCCAAAAATGGAAGTGTGGAGCAAATCAATTGTTAAAGCCAGTGCCAAACATGTGCATACATTCACACGATGTCTGCTTAATATAAGATATAAGAGTAATAATAATAATTATTATTATTATATGGCATAATTATGTAATATAATAAAATATAATAATAGCCAGCACCAAGCTGCCTGCCAGTGAGGAGTCGGGGAGCGAACACTGTGTCGCCCAGGTAGTAAGTGCCACACGGCACTGAGTCCGTCCCGTTCGCATTCTCAACTGAGCCAATGTAGCCCGAAAAACCCGAGGTGCGGGAGGAGATAAGGAGATACTACTAGCGCCGAGACCGACGCCAGCGCCAAATGTTTGGGGGCAAGTCAATAACTCAATTGAACAATTGCTGGTGCTTAGCTTATCGTTGCGTCGGACAATGCTTGCTGGTCGATCAAGCTCCCCAAGCCAGACTGCACTTTTCAAGTACGCTACTCGTCCAAGTCCATCGACTTACCTTGATCTAGTTACACTTAACGCCTGACGCCCGCGGCATCAAATCGAGCGATATTGATGTAGATAATCTCAACCAACGACCAAATCAGGCGCCTTCGCAGTGGGCAACTAACATTCCTCATGCAGCGCCGACTGCAATGCCATCCCACCATGTATCTCCCCCTCGATGCAGCTGATATATTCAATCCCATCTCGGAGCTGGCCACTAGCTTGAAGCCCTCAATCCAAGTTTGCACTGCTGCATGGAGGTTTCTTCCAGGAAAAACTCAAGTCATGTTTCATGGAGCGTGAGTACTATCACCTGGGACTGCAACGAGTGCACTGTACATTGAATCCAGTCGTGACATTGCCCCGGCCCTCCATCGGAACACAATCGATGTCGCCCGTCATCCACACCCGCTTTGGAAACCGTCGGGTTCCTCTGCTCACCACCAGCCTCCGCGCCGTTGCTCTAAGTTCTTCGCCCATTACAGCCCTGATGAAGCTCCGCCCATCGTGGTCGCACATCCCTCCGTTACTCCCACCACGCGATCGTCCCCATCCGAATCCTCCGCCCAGCTCTTGCGCCGCATGTTATAAATGCCCATTTGCTCCCTTGGCCACCAACATTAGCCATTCGTCTTCAGGTTTCCCCAGATGCAGCCACTCTCTCCATTGCATTACAACCGTCGGCTCATGAGCGAGACCCTCGCCTTTTATATCAGCACGATCGAAAGCGCCGCCAACCTTCCGGGTCAACCTAGTCTGCTCGCGGATGATTTCCCCAAGGCCGACGGCCTGTTCGTTGTGGGCGGGCGATTCAGCTTGATTGGTGCTGGCGGCACATTGCACAGAGACTTCGTTGTCCGATTCCGCGAAGAGACCGACGGCTCCTTGAAGTGGCGAATTGTGTTCGGTCTGTCTTCCATTTCGCCACTCCTGTGTGCTGACGCGGACCACCAAGACAACGTCACGATGGCGTCGTTCACCATCCCCGCCAGCACCCTGGACACCCTCCGCGACTTCCGTCCCCAGGCAACTACAATCCTTCGGGCGTTGTGCATATCCCTGGGGCACACCCACGCCGCCGCCTCTCTGCGCCTCCAGCAGACGATGTTCATCACACCCAACCTCGGCCACGCGCCCGCCCAAGAGCTCTGCCTCTTCGACGCACAGAACAACGCCGTCACCCAGGGCGGTTTCCTGTTTCGCTGCGTGTACAACCGCTGCGGGCGCGTGTTTCTGCCTGGAACCCGCTGCCGACGCCACTGAGGGCCCCCATAATTGTTGCACCTGTCATGTATTAGATAGCTAGAGGATGATCTGCAACACAAGTACCAGTATTTGATGTATAGCATCGGCGTGTGTCAAGGTTGGCATCAGTGACGGTGATTTTGAAGCCTCCTCGACCGCTTGTCCAGTGTGGCATCGTCTAAGGGTTGGAAGGACGTCGGAGGACAGCCGTAGGTGAAGATTGTCGTGGAGGAAGGGAAAAGTGTAGTCGGGGAGGGCATTGTGTCCTGGCAACTTGAGGTGACTAGCGATCGAAGGAGCAGCGACTGTCCGATTTCACATCAGTGCGGCAACTGAGAGTTCCGGCAGAGAAGTAGCGTCGACATAGTCCCAAACAGCATGTCAGTGACTCGGTGTTGTCAATCACGCGCTGGCGGTCGTCGCGGTAGACTCTGCGGTTACGGACAAATGGCCTCAGCGTTCTAGTCCCGGTATGGCTGTCGATCTTGCTGCCATTCCAGTCGTCAGCTCGTAAACTTCAAGTTGTACGACGACCAAGAAGTGCTGTAGCCTGTGGAGAGTGATCAGTAAGCCTAATGCTTAGTATTAGTGCGCAAACAACATAAGTTACACCAACACACGATAATATCCTCCAGCGACCTGCCCGCCACGTCCGCCCGCTCCAGCGCCTACAGTATAGCCTCGCATCGCGTTGCCACGTCATCGCACTCATCTACGACCAGACGATGCTCTGCAGGGGTCCCATGGCGGGGACGGCGCTCCTGCGTCACAGAAGAGAGGCGGGGGTCTGATCCAGCAGACACTCGACATGGAGGAGAGAGAAGAGAAGAAAAACGGCCTTTCCTTTTTCGGCCCGAGCCGATGACGTGTGACGTGTCTGCACGTGCCCGGCATCATCTTGTCAACAACCCCCATCTTCGATCTGTGTCGCTTCCCGACTGTCGCTGCGGCCCACGGTGCGGCTTCGCATCGCGATGGTCGCCTCGTTCGCGTGATGACCTTCCGCATTGGCGGCTAGCGTTGCGCGTCTGGAAGGTGGGCTACCAAGGCGAGGCTGGCAGCGCGCGGGCTTCGAATTCGCCATCTGCCATGGGGTGCTCCACGACGGCAACAAAGTTGGTGAGCTAGGGAAGCGCTCACAGCCTCTTCCCTCCGCTCACTCACGCCTCTCCCTCTTCCCTCTTGCTGGTCAAGACTCCGGCGTGCGATGCACCTCCGCCGACTTCCAGTGCAGCGCGCCACTGGCGATTCATCGTTCGACTGTCCGCAAGTTAACACGGTGGGACAGCCGGTCTTTTCGAGCACGAACACAGGAAGCAACGGCGTCGCTGTCGCGACGTGCACCTATGGCGCCTCGAGCGGGGAGGGCGTCCGCGGGACGTGTGTCTACTTCGTGCGTGGCATATACTTTCCGTTCTTCGCCTGCCCATCGTTTCTTCATGCAGAATGGCGTCTTCTCGTCGGGGCCAGATACGTGTCCGTTCGCTCCACAGTCAACGTCGACCGAGCCACCGCCGACTGCGAGCACTACCAGCCTCCCAGATGCTCCAAGTACGCCGTTCACCCTCCCGCCAGCTTCCCCTTCGCACTCGACCACACTGGCATTCTCACCATCATCCACGCCGACCAACGCGATCGCCAGCATACACAGCCTGACCTCGCCTTCCACAATTAGCTCCGCCTCATCTTCTTCACACGCGACCCTCGCCATCTCCCCATCATCTTCTGCTGTTGGAAGCAGCCCGCTTCCACCGGGCACCATCGCCGGCATCACCGTCGGCGCACTAGCGCTCGCTGCGCTCTCCGCGCTTCTCGGATTCTGTCTCCTTCGTTGGCGACGACGACGACATACGACGAAGATATCGCTTGACAGCGCCGTGGGATCCGTTGTGCCTTATGTCCTCGAGGCAGTGATGTCTCCGCGGTCCCAGGCTTCTTTTCTGCTCTCGCCGACCGACACGACCAACGCAACGCCCCCGCCAACCATCGTGAACCGTGATGGCAAGGGAATCGGCGATACCATGGTTGCAGCGGCAGCATTATCGCCAGTACCAGCGCAGGACGGTCACGGTGCGGAGAACGCAGCGCTGCGGGAGCGCGTCCGCGAGTTGGAGCTCGAGCTGGATTATTCCCGCCTGCAGGAGGCGGAGGCGGAGCCGCCGGCGTACACTCCCCACTCCTCTTGAGTTTTGACCAGTGTTGTCTTCTCTATCGTTAGTGAATTTGTTGCATACAAGAACAGTCTCTGCTCGGACTGGCGTGAAAAACCATAATATCATGCATTATCTGCCTCGAACCCAGAAACTCAGGCGGTACATCATGTGACAATGCCCCGATCATGGCTCCACAGGTTGCCAGGTCTGTTGTCCGCCTCGACCCCATATAAAACAGGATAGTGGAAAAAATGCGCAAGGAGCACCTGTCTCGAACCCGTGCGACAGCATCTCGGACAGCAGACATGGGTTCTGCTTGCGGGGCACCCATTGTATCCAGCACATTGGGCTTTGCCTGTTCACTCTTCCGGGCCAAGCACCATATAACCACCAGTGGGAGGAAAATTCAAGATCGGTCTCTTCTCCAACTCTTTTTAGTTCTGTTTGTCAAGATTTCATCTAAATACATCAGGAACAGACAACTTTGCAATCATGCGATAAGTAGATTTGATAGCCGTGGTAGCACGGTAGACAAGTCCTAGTAGGAACACAAACAGTAATAAATGTTTGAAATCATCTACAAATACTTATTTAACATAAGACAAAATCAAGCAATTTGTTCCAAGTTTGCCATATATTATGTCAGTTTTTATGACCCCTATGCTATAGGCCTCTACAGCTACTAATGAGAAACATGTTCATGTCACCTTCGGACCGTCCGAACGCATCCGAGGTGTATCCGACCGGCGCCCCCTCGGACGCTCTGACCTACCCCGACCCTTGTCCTTGGCCTCCTTCGCCCGCACAATTGCCGATCCATCAAGACCCTCCCAACGATCATTTTGGGACAGAGCCTGCGACGCCGCTCAGGCCCTCTGCGCTCTACATCGGCAGTTACGGACGACCAGTATATAGTTGGCGCCCTAGCAGGCGGACCCTTAGAGTTTCTTCTCTTTGGATCCTCCCCTGCTAGGTCGGTCCCTCCGTGTATTTCCCGTAGCTTTTATTCACGCTTTGGATCCTCCCCTGCTAGGCTTTCGTCGGAGTCTCCAGGGTTGCCCTTACAGGACCAGCAGCAATCGCTGTAATCACCATTGGGGTCGTCGTCCTCCTATCCGCACTTCTCTGTCTTATCTACTTTCGGGAGTTTGACAATATTTGGTGTAGCTCTCTCGTTCGCCGTCTCCATGAGCCACCTCGTTTTGATGCAAGTATCCCAATATCAATACTGTGGTTCCCGGTGACTGTGAAATCGCCCGATGAGGCGGTAATCGCAGTTTCCTGTTGTCCCATATTGCTCAGCACCTCCGGTATTGGCCGGAAATAGTTCATTAGGGTATTTACCATCATTGTACGAAAAAAATTAAGGTATCCGCCCTGATTTGCTCAACCGGTGCAGTGACCGAGTTGACGAGTTGTGTAATATTTTGATTGAAACTGTGAATCTCAGCAATCTGGAGCCCAGAGCTGGATATTTGGGTCTCCAAATCCATCTATAGGCCTATAAAGGAGGTTAGAGCCTTCGAAACATTTCCCCGCAGGGTAGTCGTTGTTTGGTGAGCGATTTGGGAGGTTTGTGACGCTGTGTCACACGACCATCAAATCTAGTCGCAGCTCTAGATAGCAGGCAGCAAGTGAGTTGTCCTTATTCTTTGTATATGAGAGGACTTCTAATAGTAGTCTGCACCTTTATTGCCCTCCCAGTGGAGACCAAACCATCAGGGTACCCAATATTGAGAGTTTCAATCAAAATATTACACAACTCGTCAACTCGGTCACTGCACCGGTTGAGCAAATCAGGGCGGATACCTTAATTTTTTTCGTACAATGATGGTAAATACCCTAAAGAACTATTTCCGGCCAATACCGGAGGTGCTGAGCAATATGGGACAACAGGAAACTGCGATTACCGCCTCATCGGGCGATTGCACAGTCACCGGGAACCACAGTACAATAATAATCGGCTCTGGGTCCTCATAGAAGGGTATGATGCTCTCTTCATCCAATATTCTGGGCATGGCTGAAGACAGACGGCAGTTTGCCTCCTGATAACTTGAACTTGGCACTCCTGCCCTTCCGTATCTTCAAGACCGGAAGTTAGAACTAGTTAAAAATGGGCTGTTTCATAAGCCCGGGGGCCAACTTTTTGGGTAACGACAGACCGAAGGTCCACAAAAATCGGCCTAAAAATCGGCCTCTGATACAAGTAGTATAGACATCACGTGAAACTCATTATTATTATTCCCAATACCAACCACCGCCGCCTCAAACAAAAACCTGAAGACAAACTACATGTCAGCACTGTGGATGACAAAGGCACAGCCCATACCATCTATTTCGTCGAATCTTTTGGTGTGTGCAAACGAAAGATGAGACCGCCCACCAACATTGTGTACACTACCAATTCCGCGAGCCATCTCCGGAATATCTTGTTCCTGTATTCCACGAGCCTTTCTTGTTTCTATGCATCCCTGGGGCCACCGGCCCGGTGCACTCGAAATGTAACTGCAATCGTCCCGCTGCCGCACCACCTTCGGCAGCTCCCAAACTCTGATTTTAGGCAGACGGTGACATTGATGTAAGATTGTGGGTGTCACAAGTGTCACGTGGCCCTTTTCCCCGTAGCTGAATTGAGATAGTCATCCTAACTGACCATTGGATCCGGACATTAGAGACTTTGCGATGTTCCACTGGGAGCCACCTACTAGCCGACATCCATTACGATCACCAGCAGCTCTAGTAGCTCCACAGTGATTTGATATGGCTAAAATAAGCTCAAATTGGACTGAATTAACATGATGTGGCCATGATGTCATCTTGCTCCACCGGAGCTACCCAAACTGTGCCTTATTTGAATGAAATTTGATGAAACTTGACTTTTTTCACAATTTCTACTCAAAAATGGTGTGGATTAGCAGAATTCACTAATAATCAGGATTTGCGTGCTGACGTGCTGGTCAGGCATCGCCCAGCTGCTGGCTGATGATGTGATCAAAAAATTCATATTTCCAGTTCAATTCATCAAAATACTGTTACTTATGGTTGATATATAGGACTTGAGCCCTCACACAGTGACTAGTAGTAGACCATCCAAGGCTATATATAATCCATGAACAAATTTTAACACCAGTCACACTCTAGTCACAGTGCACCCTAAGTGAGGTGTTGAAAGCCTCCTCATAGGAAAGTATAGGGCTATAGACTGTACCATATATGGCTACGGCCGCATATGGTACGGCACGGCCGCTGATGGGTCTGGGACAGGGACATGCCGTACTATAAGACCCCCCCAAATGAGGTGCCTGCAGTATGGTACAATGCCGTCCAGCCGTAATACAGCTACGGGGACAGCTTCTTGGTCACACTATATGACTCAGGCCAAAGCCCACCTCCGAGTTACCAGGGGATTCCAAGCACATCCCACAGTGTTGGGCAGCTCATGTGGATGTGCTGGGTGACTGGCAACTGCTCATGACTCTAGCAACAGGTTGCCGGCGACTGATCGGGGGGCCGGTACCTTGCGGATCAGCTCTTTTCAGATCAGTTGCATGGTTAGCCGAGCCTACACCATATACGGCAGGACCGTCATTACAACGTGACGGCCATCCCATTGCCGTCCCGTATACTTGGGCAACGGCTATGATACTGTATTATGGTGTGCCGTAGGGTGTAATATATGGCAACGGCCTACAGCCCGAGGAAAATAGTAGGCATTCCGTATACCCACTTTGTGTTCCATGCTATCTCTCTCACTAGAGGGTATTAGGGTGCACCATTTACTTCAAACCTTAGGGAAAATCCCCAAGTAGGCTAAAATTCACTGAGAAAAGCCACACTAAGCAAAATTGCAACAAAGTTGGCATAAAAAGACACTTTTCTGCGGAGCTCTGTTGCGGGTTGATTCCATGTCACATGTGACTTTGATCTCAAGCCGCTTTGGTTTCAACCCAAATTTTGTCCGGATTTCAGTATTGGAGTGGGGGACTGGGACCGGAGGTGATGGCAAGGAACAAGACTTGATAACCATGTGCTAACTACCTAAACAGGAATGTGTTCCAGACCTCCCACTACAGTATCTAACTGTCACGGATAAGACCCGGCCCATCCGCTCCGGTGCTGGTGTCGGGCCACCACGGGCCTGTAACATGCAGTACGTGATGATGGGGAACATGCGCCCCAGTAGGAGGAATGCGCCCGTGGGAAGCACGTGACAAAGAACAACACGTCAAGCCGTTGCCAAGACCAACTCGACACCAGGGGACTGGGGAGGAGTGCTAGGAGGTTAGGAGTAGTGCCTGGCCCACAAGGGATGTATGATCGTCCCCTCTGTGGCCATCGAACCTTTGACCACCGACAGGACAAGGGACCGAGTTAACGGGCCCTTTTGGTTTCAATCTACCCCGCCTGCCATACTCATGGGCCCGACGATCTGTCTGTTCTGTTCCGGGTGCCCGTTCTTAGAAGAAGTCCTTGCACAGCCCGACCCGCAGTCTGACACCAACCTCTTGGGCATATTCACTGCCACATCACATTTTCAGAAATACCAGCAATATAGATATTACAGTACATGATATTCCTGCCAAATGATCTCTTACAATATTAAGCCATCAGAATACTGGCATTACAGCCGTCGCTACAGGTCGCGGCGGTGCCTGCGACTGGCTCAACATATGGAAGTTTGTTGTGAGATGCAGAGAATTGTATGTACAGGCTCATATTACAGTGAGAACCTATGGAAACATCTCCTTACACTTATTGATCAACACCTAATACTTGAAAAAAAATACTGGGGGGGGGGACTGACCATTGATGCCATCACATTTCCCCCGTTGAAATATCTTGCACATTTGTTCAATACAAGGCAGGTTGATTGAGAGTAGGCCCAATTTATATCAAATTACTCTATATATTACTATCTCGGGCTTGAACATTTATTATGCCTAACCTATCAGATAACTATTCCATGGCTGCATGTTATATTCTGATTCCACGAGACCCCTGTGGAATCACTCTTTGGACTTGTAATTGGCAAAAGATCTTATTCGTTATTCGGTACGGATACACAGCTGTTTATGGGTTTCTTGGTCTTTGTGTCTGTCTTGGGTGGTAGGAGGCGGAAAAGATAGAAAAGGGGACGATAAGTAACTGTACAGCGATAAATGGGGGAAGGGAGAGGTAGGTATTACATTAAGACGGGACGATCGAGAAAGTGTGAGAGATAGCGGGTCCGGAGCGGGAAACGCGACGTAGCGCTCTGTATGCGCCGATTGGGTGTAGTTGGCCTTGGGCCAGATTACGGAAAGACTGTTGCAGAGAGGAAGACCGTGGCGAGGGGAGTATCGGCGAGTGTGGATCTATCGATGATGCATTTGATGTTGAGCCCAAAAAAGCCTCTAATTGCTGGCGACTAGAAATGCGAAGCAGTCCACGGGCCCTCGTGTATTGCGCTCAGCGGCTACGCACCCCGGCGCTCGTCCAGCTCGACTCGCTCCCAATACTGTCGCTGCCCGCATTGCTCCAGCGGTCCAGCTCGTCGTCGCCGATCTCCGAGCCACTGCTCATGCCCAGCGAGTTCACGGCGGGTGAGGCGGGAAACGAAGGCCCAATGCTTGCAGCGCCGAGCATCATGGAGGGCGACATCGTGAACGAGTGGAAAACCTGCTCGTCGGTGGTAGAGAATGCGGACTCGGAGAACGCGGAGGGGGAAACCGGGCGGGACGAGTCGGATGGAGCGGAGGAGGACGGAGCGGAGAGCAGCTCGAGATCGTGCTCGGCGTCCGCGGCGAGGTCGACCGGGTGCGAGAGGGAGAGACTGGGCACGTGCGCGGGGGAGGAGAAGAGGTCAGACCCGTCTTCAAACGGGTTATCGGGCACGGGTGATGATGCATGGACGGATGGATCAGGTGTGGGTGGAGCTTGGAAGGCAACAGGCGGGGGCGGGGGCGGGGTGCGGAAGGACTGGTTAGAGAGCGTGCTGTTCGACAATGGAGTGGGCACACGACTGCTAATGCTCGAGCCCGGGGAGCTGACGCTGAGTGAGTCGTCGAAAAGGACATGTGTTGGCTCCATCGGGTCGTATGGAAGGATGACATTCGACTTCCAAGGTCAGCTGCCCGGTTTTGCCCGATATGAATACCACGCACCTCATCCAACGCAGAGGCTGGCCGGCGCTGGCGCAGCGTAGACACGCCCTCGCTGCGGACCTGGACTTGCTCTCTCCACTGCGACACCTCCTGGGCGACCATCGTCTCCAGTTCGTAGGTGTTCTTGGTGTCCAGATCGGTCACCGTCATACTTCGTCGGCCTCCACAACGTCAGCATCGACATCACCAGTGAACTGCGGACCACGCACCTTCCCCGCCCTTGCCGGTCTCCGTGCCAGCGCTAGAGCCAGGGCGCACACCCACAGGCACCGCCTCCCTGGTCCTCTGCTTCGCAGCCTTCTTGGCCTTCCGCTTGTTGACAAAGTCCTCCGCCCAGCGCTCCACGCGCGGGGCAATGTGGGGCTCATAGACGAACTGCGATAAGGCGAGCGCCCGTCAGCGTCATCTGCCCAGCCTGAAGACGCACCTCCTTGAAGGCGAGCGCAGCGCCGACGACGCTCACCGCGACCACGACGTACACGACCACGGGCGGGGCCATCGTGCGCAGAGCAGAGTCGTGTGGTGGGAGTGGGAAGGAAAGGAGATCCGATTACAGCAACGGGGGCTGTGCGATCGGCCCGTGCCGCGTGGCTGATCGGCCTCGGCCCCGATCGCCCGTCAGGTCATGTGCTATATTCGATGAATGTCACCCGCGCAGGCAAGGGACTGGGCTGAATGTCTGAAAGACAACATTGCTATTAATACACGGAACCACATATGTTGCAAAATAGGCAAAATACCTGGAGCAACTTACTGTTGTATTTTATTCAATTCGAATGCCAAAAGTGGTGTGACATTCAATACGAAGATATCAATTCGAATTATTTCCTAATTAGGAAACTCTTGGCGCCGAAGGCGCCCGGAAATGTCATAAATTGCCTTTTTGGGAGAGGATTTTGAGCAAAATGGTGTGACATACGAAAAAATTTCGAATTTTATAGCTACTGTGACACGTGACATACGAACTGAATAAAATGCTACAGTATAGTCTGGATTGGCCCTGATAGGCTGTCAATGGCTTGTCTAGGGCCCAACTATACATAGGCTATAAGCAGCCTATAAACAGCATTAATATTGTACAGTACTACCCTGGCTGCAGGTATCTATGGGGTACTACATGCTTATGATAGGCTTGGCTAATCTTCCTTATAGCAAATGATCATAATAAAGTTCCGAGTCCAGATCCCTGATACTAGTAGCCTCAATGCACAGTTCACATTGAATTAGATTTTTCTTTTCATATGTCTCACTATTATAAAAGTGCATTTTTTCACATCTTAATTTTCTCAGAGCCTATGCATTCTAGCAGACTATGTTCCGGGACCAAATGATTCTAGGTAGTTGAGGAATATTGTTATGTATAGTTTTAAATCTCTGATTTTACTGCTAAAGTGCATTGATTGGATTGGTTTCCATATAGCTGCCAATTGACTGAAGAGGTGAAAAGAATGATTCAGTCTGCAAAAAAAAAGTTTCCAGATGCAACATGCAGCACATGACACCATCACCCTGTCTAAACCCACTTATTACCATATTTGGCAAGGAAGCAAGGCAGCTAGGTCACAAGTGTTGTTTGCTTATTAACTGATTCAAATTCATCTGCACTCAAAAAAAAAAAGTTCTATACCCACATACAATCCTCCATCCCCAACCCACAATGAGAATCGGAAGGACAACAAACAAGACAGCAAGCAGACACGGTTCTTCCCCTCCCACTGTCTAAATCCCTGTTTATATCAAGGTGAGCATTGACGGTAGTGTACCATGTGTTCCGCACTTCTTGGGGAGGATGAGACAGCACAGTGGGGTATATCTTCCCCTCACATCTGAGCTTCAATAATGAGGGCCAATTTGGACACCAGAATTTGCTCCCTTCCCTTTGCTATCTTCCCTTTTCTCAAGCTAAAGTGCAGCAGTCCGCACCAGAGATGGTGCCTTCAATTTCATTAAACATTTCTTGAACATGTGTTCGATATTGTGTTGTTCCTGCAATGCTCATATTTAGGATCTGTCCTTGCCCTCCATTCCAGGATTTGCCCACATAGCATGTGCTAAGGCTGCTCTAATTTTCTTAAGTACTGATGGCCAAGGGTTAATGCTTTTCAAATTATCTCCTAAATCTGCACCTAAGTAACATTCTAAAACTCTGACCTTCTTGTGAGATTTTCCTTGTTGTTGGGGTAACACCTTTTGGTGATTTTAAATTGATTCAAATGGGATGATTATAGTTTTGGAAATGTTGAACTTGGCAGTTGAGATGTTGCACCATGTATCCAGGATTCTCCATAACAGGGTCCAGGAGTTATGGCTAGATAGATATATGGTTGTATCATGATTCATCTGCAAACAGTGAAATCAGCACTTTACATTCTGTTACAGCTTGATTGTCATACAGCATACTTACTTGTAATGACATCTAAATTAATTTTATTATATTTTAATCTACATGATAATCTATAATAATAGATTGGTTATAATATCCAATGATCATTATGGTGAATTTAATTTGTTATTAATAAATTGAATAACTCTGAGATTTCACTAGCCTAAGATTCCATAGTTTTACTTAAGGTTATCGGTAACCCAAAATTTCATAGGCCAGTAGGTAACTATGGTTAACTATAGTCAAATTTTGAATTTTGTGACATTCAAGTTTGTAGGTTTAGATGGCATTGGACAAAGAAGAACTTATTTTTCATACACACACACTGTGCCCCATGCAACTTGTATCACGCCGTCCAGGTCGTCTGTCGCACCTCCTGGCACATCATCACCAGCTTTCCCACCTCGCTCCACCGCCCGCGGTACTCCTCGCCATGGATGACGACCAGATCCTTGAACATGCGGTCCAAATGGCGCGCCAGCAGATGCAAGTCGACGCCGTCCCAGCTGTACCCGCTCGCACTGTGCGCCGCGCTCAGCCAAAGCTCGCACAGCCCGTGCGCCGTGGGCGGCTGGCCGCCCCTCGGGATCTCGGGCACCATGTTCCGGGTAGGTGTGAACGGCACATGCAGCACGCACAGGGCTGTTACTAAAATTTTTGCTTTGAAAAAGTTAGTGGCAAAAGTTGAAGGTTTATTGCAAGTTTTTGTCTTCACAAGTTTTGTAGTCAATTTTATCTCAAGAAATACTGTTACACTGAGTTTTTCCAAAGGAAAAACTGTCACAGCTGATTTTTACACGGTGGTGTGACAGTTTTTTCCATAACAAAACCTTTACAAAAATTAGTTGTGACAGTTTTTCTCTCAAAAAAACTCTTTGTGACAGTTCTTCATTAGATTTTTCCTTTGAGAAACTTGTCATTTTTTCTATGGTTCCTATACAAAGAAATCTTTCCATTTTAGTGCTAACTTTTGTCTAGGAAAAATTCCGGGAACGGCCCTGTGACGCGCAGCGCCGGACAGTGCGTGGCCACTGCCGGGAAGAATGCAATGTCGGCGTCGCCGTGGCCCTCCGCGAACGTGAGCGTCTCGAGCACGGGCCAGGTGCGGACGATGGTGAGCACGTTGCCGTCGCTCAGCGATGTGCCGCCCGGTGGAGGTGGAGGGTGCGCAGGGCAGTGAGGCCGGACATGAATGGGAAGTCGTCAATGGTGTGGAGGGACATCCCATTCAGGCTGGAATATTCGAGACTGGCCGCCCAGCGGGACACGAGGCGGCTCCCGAGAGTGCGGAACGCGGCGGGGTGCTGCGAGGTATCAACACGGTCGGGGGTAGATCAAAACCGAAAGGGCCCGTGAACTCGGGCCCGGCACCATGGGCCGGGCAGGCGTGTTCCATGTGCCAGTGGTGTTCGTCCAGGGAGACCCGCCTAGGGGTGCCCCACTTCAGAGCGGGCTCCTTTCTTCCGTAGAGAGCGCGGTTGAAGACCACGGGTTGGGCTTCGAGGGTGCGCCGATATAGGTAGGCTAGAGAAGCAATGGCGATGGCTACTATCGTGGCCCAGGCCGGAAGCGCGATGACGGTGGTAGTGTCCATTCTGTTGCGGGTGTAGGGGATCGCTTAGATTCTGTCACACTGCGGGTCGGGCCGTGCAAGGACCTCTCCTAAGAACACGTGCCCGGAACAGGACAGACGGATGGTCGGGCCCGCAGGTACGGCGGGCGGGGTAGATCAAAACCGAAAGGGCCCGTGAACTCGGTCCCTTGCCGTGGTCGGTGGTCGAGGGTTCGAATCGGGTCGTGTCGGGCCCGATGAGTCGATAACGTCTCCTTGCATGGAGTAAGGTAGTTGACGATCTAAGCGATAGAGTACAGGGTACACTATCGCGCCTTATATACGCGGGCCCGCAAAGGGGGTGATCGGACACCCTGGCCTCTCCTCCTCCTCCTCGCTCCCGATCCTGGCCACAGAGGGGACGATCGTACATCCCTTGTGGGCCAGGCGCTACTCCTAACTCCTAGCACTCCTCCCCAGTCCCCTTGTGTCGAGTTGGGCTCGGCGGACGGCTTGACGCGTCGTTCTCGGTCACGTGCTTCCCACGTGTGCGTTCCTCCTACTGGGGTGCCTGTTCCCGTCGTCACGTGCTGCATGCTACGGGCCCGCGATGGCACGACACCAGCGCCCGGAGCGGACGGGCCGGGTCTTATCCGTGACATCACCCCCTCCCTAGGAATGACTCGTCTCGAGTCGGCGTGGCTTGGTCGCCCCGGTTTCTCGGGTTAATTTTGACTTTAGCTCGTCCTTCCAATCGCAATTTCCATTCAGCCCATAAGCTTAAGCTAAGCTTCGGCTGCGCGTTTTAATCTCCCGCGGCTTCTGACGCCTCGTGGCGTGCGCAGATCGATTCTTCCTGTCCATCAAGTGTTTCACCGCGGTCACGTGCGGTGTCGCGTTGGCGTTTTTCAATTCAGTTGTGCGTCCTTTGTTCGTATTGGCTGCGAGTAGGCTGTGCTGCGCGCCTCTGTCGAAGTTCGATATAGAACGAGTTCGTTCTCTCATATAAGGCCTGGACTTCCCCTTCTAATTCTCTTCATGGCGTCCCCCAACTTGTACCGCTCCGGGCTGCTGCCCCCTCTTGGCTCTCAGATGATTCCCCCGTCTTCGGAGCCTGGTCGTCTATTCGTGCGTTTCGCCTCGATGTATCTCGTCGAAGTTTCCCGCTTCCTGGCCCGTCGCGCAAGGGCGAGACCCGTCGTACCGGGAGTCGTTCGAGCCCCTCCGTCCGTTGGATGACTTGCCTTCATCCCAAGCCGCCGAGCACTCCTCTAGGCTGCTCCCTCGCTTGGCCCCTGTAGTCCGCTCGCATCGAGCTCCCATTCCTCCAGAGAACGTAGCTCGTCCCGGTGCGCTGGCCGGACTCCTGGGCCCTATCCCTCCGTCCCTTGTTCCTCGACAGTCCTGCGTTCGTTCGGCGTGTGATCAGGAAAAAAGAGATTTATTATTAGGGGAACAGAGGGCCCGCCAAAGGTTAAATAGAGCAGATTATGAGAGGAATAAGGATAGCCCCCAGGGCTTTCATGCTGAATGGAGTGTACCCCATTTCTTCAAGCAGAGTGTGCCAGTGGCGCGGGGCGGTCCGAAACTATTCGAATCG